GGGGGGGGGGGGGGGGGGGATGTTTAACCTGGTTAGGTGGGGGCAGAACTCCTGGGTTCTCTCCCCGGCTCTGGAAGGGGAGTGGGGTCTAGTGGTCAGAGCAGGGGGGCTGGGAGCCAGGACTCCTGGGTTCTCTCCTGGCTCTCGGAGGGGAGCGGGGCAGTGCTGGGAGCCAGGACTCCTGGGTTCTCTCCTGGCTCTGCGAGGGGAGCAGGGTCTAGTGGTCAGAGCAGGGGGGCTGGGAGCCAGGACTCCTGGGTTCTCTCCTGGCTCTCGGAGGGGAGCGGGGCAGTGCTGGGAGCCAGGACTCCTGGGTTCTCTCCTGGGTCTGCGAGGGGAGCGGGGTCTAGTGGTCAGAGCAGGGGGGCTGGGAGCCAGGACTCCTGGGTTCTCTCCTGGTTCTGGGAGACAGGTGCAGGAATCGTTCTGGTCAGAAGAGGGGGACCCCAACGTAGAGGTAGAGGAAGTGGGTGGGGCCCCCCTTGGACCATGGGGAGCAGCAGGGTCACATCAGTCCCCGCCCCCCCACGAATCACAAGGAGGCCCCCGAACACCCCTGGCTGTCACTTTGCCGGGGGGGGGGGGGCTCTCCACTCGCAGTGGCTGGCGCCCCGGCTCCCCCGACCCGGCTCTCACCTTGCAGCCCTTGGCGTTCATGGAGTCGATGGTGCGTCGCACGGCCGGGTGGGGCGGGTCGATCAGCTCCACCTGGGTGCGCACGTTCTGCTCCAGGTAGGGCCCCATCAGGAAGTAATTCTCCCCCCACTCGTCCGACGTGATCTTGGCCTTGGTCTGCAGCACCGTGTAGATACCCCCCACTGCGGCGGGGGGGGGGTTTAGAGACACAGCCCCCCATGCACCCGCCCCTGGAGGAGGGGGGCCGATATACACCCTGCCCCTTTATCTGAGGGATGGGGGGGCCCCCCTCAATACACACCCCTCCCCCACACCTGGGACTCCCTTGCTCTGTCCCATGGGGCCCAGCAGGACGCAATGCATTGTGGGACCCCCAGCAGCAGGGCTCTCAGCCATTGACTCCCTTGCCCCATACTACCCCCCAGCTGGGCTCTCAGCCCCCCACGTCCCCCAGGCGGCCGCCCCCCCCCCCCCCCCCCACCCCCTCGCCCCCCCCCCCGGGGCCAAACCTTCCCCCCCCCCCAAGCCTGGCCCGGCTCCCCCCAGCTCCCAGAGACCCTGCCAGAGGCTGCCCCACGGCGCAGTTACCCCGCCCCCAGCTCAGACCGGCCCCTTCTCTGCACCAGCATCTCCGCTCACTGGCCTGGGCCCCAGACCCCCCTGCAAGAGGATCTGGGGGGCAGGAGGCATCGGGGGAATCACAAGGTTGCGCCTGTTCCCTCACAGCCAAGGCCTGGGGGGGTCACAGCGCGAAGGACAGCTCCAGCCAGCGCCCCCCCGCGCTGGGACACGGCCCCCCTGGGTGGGGCAGGGGGCTGGGTATACGGGGACCCCTTGCCCAGTGCCAGGATGCGGCCCCCTCTGGGGCGGGGCATGAGCTGGTTGTGGGGGACCCCTTGCCTTGGCGGAGTCGCGACCCCTCTGGGGTGTGGTGGGAGGCTGCTTAACAGCCATAGAACAGTTTAGGACAGGAAGTGAAGGAAGCAGCAGGGCACCCCAAAGATACCGCCCCTCCCCCCCACCAACCCACTGGGGCCAGCACTGCCTGCCAGGGGAGAGCGCCCCCTGCTGGGCCCCTGCCCCGCCACCCACCAGCCCAGCGCCCCCTGGCCATCAGTACTGGCCCTAACGCCGGCAAGGGGACGCCGGGCTGCAGGGGAACCTGGCACCAGAGCCGCCCTGGGGCTGATCCGTCTCTGCCCCGTGCCCCCAGTGGGACCCCGTGGGCATCACAACCCCTGGCGCAGAGCCAGCGCAACGGGCCCATTAGATGGAATGAGGGAAGGCGGCTCGGCCGAGGGGGCAGCAGGGCTGCTGGGGGGGGGGGGAGCGGGAGCCCTTCCTCCCACTGGGCCCTGCTCCAGCGGGGGGCACAGAGCCAGGCCCCCATGACCCCTGCCCCCGCTCTTCCCCTAGGCTTCATGTTCCTGCTCCTTGCCCCATAGGAGGATGCCTGGGTCTGCCCCACAGCGAGCCATGGCCCGGGGGCTCACAACGCAACCTCCTGGACTCCCAGCCACTGGACCCCATCCGCCTCCCAGAGCCAGGGAGAGAACCCAGGTGTCCTGGCTACCAGCCCCCCCGCTCTAACCACTAGCCCCCCCTCCCCTCCCCGAGCCGGGGAGAGAACCCAGGCATCCGGCTCACCTTTGTTGGCCACCTCCCAGGCCACCTCGAAGAGGACGGAGTTCTCCAGGTCGATCTCATCCTCCCAGTCCTCCAGCCCCGTCAGGGAGGTGACGGAGACGCTGCGGGCCAGGGGCATGGCGGCTGAGGCTGGGGGGCAGCGCTTCGCCAACGAGGGGGTCTGCGTGGCGGGCTGGGGAGACAGACAGACCCGATCAGCCCTGCTAGTCCCCCCCCCAGTGCAGGCCCACGGGGGGGGGGAGGGTCAGAGCCCTGGGACACCCCCCCGCCCCACCACCTCCCAGACCCACAGGAGGGGGGGGGG